ATGGACTTAAACATATCAGAGATGTACTTAATGGGTCTGTTAAAGAATTCAATCCCCACGTTCTAGATTTAACAAATAACAATGCAGAAGATCATGATCATTGGGAAGTTGTTGATGATGGTGTTAGTGTAGTGAGCATGGCTGGAACGGAAGACGAGACTGCATCTGTAACTAAAGAGGTTCAAACTAAGCAAGAAAAGATCGCACCCTCAGTAAATGCACCTAAAACACCAAATTTAGAATCTACTTTTACGAAAGATTCCGAAATTTCTCGATCATCACCGCCACCGTCTTCATTTTCGTCGCCGCTCTCAGACGAAACATCATCATCACAATCTACATCATTACAACAATCAAATCCGTTAGCTGACCAAATTAAAATATCTAATTCAGTTAGCGAAAAACCGAGTTTAATATCAACTACTCAATCTCGATCATCTCCCAGGGGAGTAAAGCCAACATCAATTTCGATACCCAAATCGAAGATGAAATTTAATGATACACTGAATGATTCAGATAAGCGTAGTGTCAGTACACCAAAATCGTCCATTGTATCGAATTCAAAATATAGCTGGATGGTTGAAGGTTGCACAGAAGATGATGATAATTCATTATTTAACCCTAAAAGATCTAGCATCATAGGTATTAGTGGATTATCTAGCTATTCTTCAGAACGTACGAACTATGGATATCTAGATGGTCCAATAGAGGATCAGGACCAATTTGAAAAATCAACTTCTTCAAACTTAACACAAAAACGTTCAAAAAGCACAACTCCTTCCGAACGTAATAGAAGTGAAAACATAGGAACAGCATCTTCAATGAATATTATGAAAAAAGCTAATAATAATGTGACACCTGCGATTCCTGTTGAAGATCCTTTAGGAGTTTTGTAATGTTATAAATTGCCGACTTGTAGAATTGTATGGTTTAAATTGTATGGTATTCTTTAACTATGAAATATTATCATAGTATTATACTTTCGTATTTGTATTTATATTTATATTCCAATCATCATTCTAATAATATTACTTTATTGCTCTCGACTCGATAATCACATGAATTAGAGGACAAAATTTCAATTTCGGATTATTAAAGATTAGTTTAATTATGATAGGATATGCATGTGAATTAGAAATCTTATATAATTATTCTGGATTTCAAAACAACTCTAACCGTTGCCAAATACATAACTATGAAGAAATAGTCTCGTCTGGAAAAAAAAAAACAAGTCAATTTAAATCTTTGCAAATGTTATAAAACAGTATACAAACCTTTTTCGTCTGTTTATAAAATGCTTTTGATTGAAATGAAATTTTTTTGAAATCTATTAATAAGATTATCTAGTTTTTTTTTATTATGCAAGAAATTTATAAAATGGGTAAAAATTTAAACTCTTGAAATAATAAAAATTTGAGGTTAAATATTTATCATAATCGCAAAGGTTACCGTAATTTTAGATTAAACTTTGATACGTGGTAGTAAAAAATGTATAAAATCTAATTTTTAATAGTTGAGGTAAACGCTAACGTTATCATGTCTAGCTCAGTAAAATCATATTATATACTCGCTAATAACTAAAAATATGGTTTAACCAGTATATCTTGTGACAAATTAACAATGTTCTTTCGAATATCACATTCGTAATTGCTTTAATTTCAAAATAAATTTTACATTCAACGAAAAATATGTACTAGTAAACATGATGGCATTAACATATTTGTTCAATACAAAAAAACACCCCACATGTTATATTTGTGAAGTAAACATTGATATACTTAGTTGAAATCCTTAGAGTCTAATTCCCATGTATTATCACTTATATCATTTAAATTGTCAAAATTTAGTGGTAATGGTGGCATTTTCTTAAGACTGATCTATTCTGGCTAAATGCTGTATAAAAGCATAGCATTGCAAGACTGTCGGATAGGAAATACGGGTCTCCAAAAAAACCGATGCTGATTATAATTTGAAAGGATCCCGTATTGTAGTTGATCAGCAACTAGATACCCAAAAATTTGGTGAATGGCGTTTACAACTGAAATTTTTCTGCTGGAGTTTAGAGTGATAATTTCACTGTTTTCTTTTTTTAGGTCTTTTTGGTATCTTTCATTAAGAGATACTTCATTACTTATATTAAAAACCCAAAAAGTCTTTACTTCAATGATTAGTAAAAGTTTTCCAACCCGTTTATAAACAAAATCCGGATGACCAATGACATCATCCTCTTTTGAAATTCTCTTATATGCTTCGGTCGGTTGTCTTGCAGTTGAAATTATATTTAAATTGTCTAGAATGTTATTTTTAAGAGCACTCTGAACATCCTCCTCATTTGCTATATCATAGCTTTTGTTATATTTTTTTAAAAAAAGGGTTTTTATATTTTTTAATGTTATCAAATGAATATGATTTTACTTTTTCAACAAATGATGCCCAACTTTCTACTTGAAATAGTGTACAAACAAAACTTGAATTTGTAGTAGCTGTGCTTTTTTCAATTTAGGATAGTAGATAGATGGTGGTATATTTGATAAAATTTCAAGCTCTGTCTTGTCTTTTTTTTGGTTTCTTTTTTTTATGTATCTTAGTATAATGAAATAATTTTAATATAATAATTATTAATAAGCAAGAATATACTATATTTATCATTTACTATTCATCAGAAAATTTTTCATATAGATATATATTGATATATAGCAAAAAATCGAAATATATTGATAAGATAAAAACGGTATTTATCGATAATTTAGGATATATAATGATAGAATTATAATCAAAAATAACCCATGGTGATTATCACCATGGTCACATGAAAACGTACCAGATACGCGTAATACTATGACGAATATCATTAAACTACTACTTTCTTTTATTTAAATAATTTATA